CCGTTTTTTTGACATTAACATTCTCAAATTGCGCATTAAAAAACCGTGCGTTTTTCGCTTATAAACAATTTGAATAACATTGTTGCTATTTATGCTATCTCACCGAAAATAGATGCAAGGGACAGCTGGCAAAAAAATACAGTTTTAAAATAAAAAAGTATCCTCTACGACCAACAGGAGCCAAGATAAGATTTTTTTTAAATCGTAGCCCAATTGTTTATAAATATTAAGACTTGAAATTTTCGCAAAATACAGTTTACTACGTAATCTACGGTTTCCCGTGCATTGCATTAAAAAATGTGGAAAACTAACGACTCACGAACCCTTTAAAGAGAAGGTACTTGCTAAATAAACTGTCCGGCGACGTGGTGGTGGGGGAAGCTCGTCCAAGCGGTCGCGCGCGTGAGAAAAGTTAATTCCAAAGTTTAAATTGAAATTTTACAACATCTCTGCTTCTATTCATCGTAGAAATTTATTTTTTTTAACGGGTAGCTCGACGAAAAAATAACAATGGGCATATTTACGAATTCGTAGAATAGCCCTGAACCCCAGAAAAAATGCATCTTTTACACTTAAATTTTTTTAATTTACAAAAATGTCAAAAAAATTATTTTTAAACGAAATATTAATTAAAATTTCAATTCCGGAATTATTTTACTATTATTGAATAAATAAATGAAGCTATCGTTCATTTAAAAAGTTATTTTTTTTACATATTAAGGCAAAGTAAACTTGTTTTTCCAATATTTTGTTAGCTATTTAATAACGCTTGAAAGGAATTAATATGCATTTTTTGGGGTGATCCGAATATTTCTACTTGCACCATTGGCATTCGTGCGAAAATCATTTCTAAAAAAAAGATAAGCCACATCTTTTTCCCGTTTAAAATTTTTTTTTGAAATCCGTCAACAATTCTGAATTAATGAATTAGATTTCTTCAACATTTTTTGGAGAATGCACCGTTTTTGAGAAAAAAAATTACACATTTTACTGCAGGTCTTCTAAATGTTTTATTTAAAGGTGCAAGTAGAAATATTTGGATCACCCCAAAAAATGTACAATTATCCCTCCAAAGCGTTTTTAAAATTTGTAGCAAATATCTTCCAGACTATTTCAAATAATAAAAAAAATAAATCCGGGGCACACCCGAGGAAAAAGTCCGAGAAAAAACATCAGAGAAAGAAATCCAGAAAAAACTCTGGGGGAAAAGTCCGGAGAAAGAGTCCGGGTAGAAAGTCTATGGAAAAAGTCCGGGGAAGTCCGGAGAAATGTCCGGGGAAAAAGTCCGGAGAAGAATCTAAAGAATTCCTGGTATTCTGGTATTTTTACAACTGGGGGTCTCTCCCTGACACAGTGAAACTAGACCCATTTTTTGGTTTATACGCCCTTATGTGATAAGAGGGACGACATGTTTCAGATCTGAATATCCTAGACCTAGATAGTTACACGGTGTTTTACCTTTTTCATTAAATAAATAGTAAAGAATTCCAGCAATATAATTTTGTTTTGGTTTCACTACCTGTTAACCGGTTATATTTATTGTACCGATTTTTACTAAATGATCTGTTACTTCCGCAATTGTTTTTATTTAGTAAATTCTTCACGTCAGGTGTAGGTTTTAATTTTCAAATAAATAATATATCATCGAAAGTCAACGTACTAAATTTTTTATCTAATAAAAAATTAACAATATCACGTTTGCTACTCACCAATACGCGAATTTCGCGAATATTTACAAACTCAAACCTATTAAAACATTTAGAATTACTCCGCAATCACTCTTAATTCAGTTTAACAGTAACGAGTTAAAAAATCCTTAATAATTATTATAATTATCATTACATTATTATATAGCATTCAACATAGCTCCGTAGATATTTATTTTTTAACTCGATTTACACATTATTATAAAACGGTTTATTTTTAAAATTTGTTTTCTGGAATACCTTCGCAGGGAAATTTTGTTCTAATGTTTAAAAAGTCATTCAAAGAATAAAATTACGGCAAATAAATACACATACGTATACATACTTCTGACTGCTGGGGAAAAACTTTAGCTGGCCTTAGTCGATACAGCACTCGATGGGAATATTATGTTGGTTGCTGCCGAGATCATGATTAAATTATAATTTTAAAATTTGGTAGCGGGTGTTTCAAAGGAGGTTTTACAAGAATTAGGTTAGATCACTTTCGTATATGTAATATGTATACACATTTTTCTTTTATTCTTCTGAAATAATCAGGGTGGGCACTGCCCACCCTACCCACCTCTACGAGCCGCCACTGCCACCAACTTTTTCGATCATGATATACAAAAACATTCAATTTTGTGACTGGCAAAAAAAAGTAAAGTTTGTGTTTTGCCACAATCTGTAACAAGACGATTTTTGTAATCTACCCCTTTGAATATACGTACATATTTGTTTATTCAAAACATATTTAGACTATTTAAACTTCGAGACCTTGTATCTTCAAAGCGAAGACTTCGAAGACAAAAAATTTAAAGGAATTGGAAAATTACGAGTAGTTATAAAAAATTCCCAAAATACAATTAACTTAAAAAATTCTGTCACTACGAAATGGGCCTTTTTGGATAAATTTACTACGTTTATATTTAATCAATCAGATGGATATATCAATAAAAAATTTCACACTAACCTTAGATTTTTCAGCGGCTTCACGATCGTCGTTAAATTTTTCTCGACGCTTCTGCTGTAGTACTTGAGGAAATCTGGAAAAAAAATTATTACATTTACGATTTTCTTAAATATAGTAAAATATGCAGAGGGATTACTAAGACTACCGATTTGCACCGATAGTTTTTCAAGAATGTTTTGTAAAAAGAAAATTAAATTCCACAAAACATAAAAAATAATATTTGTTTTTATTGTTTTTTAATAATTGCATCCTGAAAGAAAGACTGCCTTTGAAAAATATACAGGCTGTCCGGAAGTGAATGAGACATACTTTCTTCAAGGATAGCTTCCTTGGACGAAAATAAACCCATTTAGATCAATAACATTTTGTTAAGACAAAAAATAAAAATGTTTTACATGAGATTTTTAAGATAACTGTGTCGTTGCTAGATATTTCAATAATTTTTTTCTTATTTTTGAGATAAGCCACTATGAATTTGAATTTATATTTTTACTTAAAAACTAGTAGTCCCAAAGGACAATTCCAAGTTTTTTTTTTTTAGATAGATAGATATTTATTAGTGTTAGTACACAAAAAGTTTACACACGTCAAAAAAAAAAAATAATTATAGTAATATAAAATCATTATGAAAAAAAAAAATAATAGTAAAATACATATACAACACAGTACACACACGCGTATAACAGTGTTGACACGTAACTAGTTCATAATTTAAAAAACAAAGAAAATGACAGTCTGTCGGGCATTTAGAGATATATGCTGATATAATTGGACTTTACTTTTACTTTGCAACGAAATTTTAATATTTAGACTGATTTACCCCCATTCGAATTCAATGTATACCTGCCAATTTTTCAGATCATGAATCATAAAGAACATTTCATTTTGTAACAAATTTATTAAAATTAAAGTAAAATTTAATTTTTCCAAAAATTCCAACAGTAAAATAAAAAACATCAAAAAAAAACAATTTTAACAATCTACCTATTTCAAACGTGAAATAAGTTAATATTTATAATAGACAACCCGAAAATATTCATTGAAATATATTCAAATTATTAAAAATAAACATTAAATCAAAAATGTTTCTGCCGACAACTTTTAAAAAAAGCTAAATCGTACTAAGGTTAAATGGTCTAAAACCCAAGGAAACTACCGATGAAATATATTTCCAAGGCAACGTTTGAGGCGGTACAGTTTTATTAACAAAATTAAATACGAACACCCTTGCATGTTTTATCCGGACAATCTCTATATGTATCATGAAAATTAAACGGGGCCTTCATAAATGGTTAATTATAAACCTCATGACCAGAAACTTTGTCTGGAACAGTAATTTTATGTCCTTCACGTTGCCAATGAAACTTATTAAAACGGCAAGATCGAGATTACGTTAAAACATAATATTAGGATTTACCGGCTGGTGATTGGTGTAACTTTACCTGATATTTATTCAACATATCAGCGATTGCCTTATCTCGAACGTAGACGCAACAGTTTGTCATTGTTCGTAGTAAACGAATGATTAATATGGGTGAAGTTAAGATTTAGAGATTTTTGACTGCATACTAAAACAAAGACTGCCTTGGAAGTATGTAGGGTGTCCGAAAGTGAATGAGACGTATCTTCTTCAAGGATAGCTTCCTTGGATGAAAATAAACTCATTTAGATCAATATTAGACAAAAAATAAAAATGTTTTACATCAGATTTTTAGGATAACTGTGTCGTTGCTAAAGATATTTCAATAATTTTTTTCTTTTTTTGAGATAAGCCACTATGAATTTGAATTTATATTTTTAATTAGAAACTAGTAGTTCCAAAGAAAAACTTCAAGTTTTTTTGGTGCTACAGATTTTGAGAAAACACAAACAAATATTTGAGATGTCAATTTTACTTTTACAAATAAACAATCGTGTCTAAATCGTCACTGACAACAGTTCATAATTTAGAGGTAGGGTAAACTATAAATAATTGTCATTTACTTTTTTGCTAAAATTGCAAATAAATCTTTTTTATGATTTAGATCAATTTACCACCATTCAAAAAACTATTTTTAGATACCCGCCAACTTTTTCGATCATGAAACATAAAAAACATTTAATTCTGTAACACATTTAGCAAAAAAAAAGTAAAGTTTGTGTTTTGCCAAAATCTGTAACAAGACAATTTTTGTAATCTACCTGTTTGAATGTACATATTATTTGTTTATTCAAAACATATTTATTTAAACTTCAACACCTTGTATCTTCAAAGCAAAGACTTCAAAGACAAAACTTTTAAACGAATTGGAAAATTACGAAGTTATAAAAAATTCCCAAAATCCAGAAAAATACAATTAACAAAAAAAATTCTGTCACTGCGAAATGGGCCTTTTTGGATAAATTTATCACGTTTATACAGGGTGTCTGACGGTGACGGTCATTAGAATTATTTCAGAGCCTACTTCAATTTGAATTTTGAAAATTTGGGATACCGAGTTTTCGGGCATGCCTTTCTCAACTAAAATAATGGCATTCACGTACCACTTCCGGTTATACCGGAAGTCGACATCAACTTGCTTATTTAAAATGGAACACCCTATATATTATCGCTATTTTGGATTCTACGTGTCATTTTAGGTGGACTTTTATGAAGCTTCCTTCTTTTCTTGTTACACTGCCCGTTTCACGAAAAACATTAACACAACGCTGAACTGCACTTTGAAAAATTTCGTACTCAACAACGCCGGGAAATTGATTTTGAAATTCTATGAAACATTCCTCAATAGAATACTTCCATATTCCATCAATCTTGCGTCCATTTCTAAAGTAGGACTCTATGATAAACACTTTTTGTTCTTGAGAAAACACCATTTTAAACGCTTTTTAAAACGAAAATATTCAAATTGATAGCGGCGATATAGCGCTTTGACAGATGACGTTTAAGTTCATTTGCTATACGCTACGCCCTACGTCCAAATTTTCAGAACCAACTTGACCACGTTTTTATTTGAACGCTCGTTACAAAAATACTATTGTTCTAATTCTAAAATGTATATTTTCAGTTTAACTACTTTTACAATCAAATACATGAATAAACACTAAATTATATAAAAAAAAATTTGCCAACTCAACAAATCCTTAAAGGAGATACATAACGTTTATCTTGAAACTTAAATGACTTCAAATTAATTGGCCGATCCAATTAGAGGTACAAATACCAATATCTACATCAAAAAGAAGCACTTTGAGATTGTTTAGAAATTGCAAACGAGCAGATAGTTACCTAACAAAAAGTTTATACCTATATAGATTTATTATATTTTTTTTACCTAAAACAAGATCAACTTGGCTTTGGTGATATTCAATTTCATTTAAAAGGGTGTTTACCACCTCCATAAGCGAGACATTCATGACGACATTTTTCTCCTTTCTCATGACTGAAAGGATAATTTTCGAAATACGTTTGCCGGATCGAGTATGCTAAGGCCCTCGACATTAAATATGAGTGATATTTTGCTCCGTAACCAACTGAATGACTAAATCTAAGCTGTCATGCAGTATTTGCAATATATGGCAAGCCACAGTAAGATTTCTGGGTTTCGGCTAAAACTTCTGTTGTTGAACTTTTTAGCGGATGCTTCCCACGATAAGCCTTTATTCCTCGATATTTCCGTACTTCCAACTTAGATAATGAACGTTTCACAAATAACTAAATATTTTAAAAATGCTATTTGCCAGTTTATGCCAGAATATTATAGTAAAATTAGGGAAAAGAGTGGAATAAAAGAACTTATTGTCTGGACCAGTGATAAAAAATTCCGGCATTGTAACGTTCTTGGAAAAAAATAAATGTTTAATTAATTTGACGGTAGTATTAACATTCGTGAGTTCTCCTCTAAATAATACGTATACATTTGTTTTTAAAACTTTCGTTTTAATTTATTATCAACGGGATTCAAAACTGACAGTATAAAAATACAAATATATTATGATTATTTTTTGTGCACATGTTGAACTTATCCGATTGTTGCTCATTGCGCTGATTTTCCTTAATGCGGCTCTGAGAGACAGGTGACAACTAGATGTCCTGCAAATATGTAGTAACCGATAAAAAAAACCTTTACCTCTATTATTGCTATGCGGTAGCTCGAAGTTGCTCTAGATTAGTGTCGCGCTAATATTCCCGCATGGACTTTATCATTGTCGTACTAAAAGTGCGATTTCTAGTCTACAAAACGCCAGTCTTAATATTTTCGTATAATGCATCGCATAATTAGATACACACAACAGCTTCTATAAATAAAAAGGCCGCCTCCAAATCAATATTAAGTTTCGTTTTTAATTTTAATTTGATGTATTGCATAAATGCATATGTAACCTGCAGTCGTAGCCAAAACAGCTTATTTCTGTTTGTGGCTGTCTATGTCTCTTGCATACATCGCGGATAAGACTTGTCGACATCTAGCAATATGCAACATCTTCTGATAAAAATGACGAGTGATTAGTGTGCAAATTGATAACCCAATTTTAAAAGGTCTATTTACACAAAATATCGAAATGGTAAAGAAAAAAGATTGTTTTACTATTGTTACTTAAATAAATCATTAAAATTAATGACTAAACAATTTATATTGTTATAACTCTTATAAATTAAATATTATATCTATTTCTCTAAAAAGAAAGTTTACATATTTTATTTACCAAGAGTTTAGGTTCTCATCGTTCGGTAAGAACGTGTAACAATGCAAGGTTTCGGAAGTCTTCATATCCTCTGCTCTCCGCATCACATTGTCTTCCCACACTTGCCGCCATAGACAAATTCTCATTTTCCACAGGGAGGTACAGAGAGTACCAAAAATATCATCCTGCACCTGGTCCGGCCTCGACTTATTCAATCTTTAATGAAAAAACAAATTAAAACCTATTACCTTATAAGCATACCTGCCTACACCAACCGATTACCGATTACCTACCGCTGGTGGGCATCCAACTGAATGCATGTTATTACCAAAAATTTCTTATTTAGGTAATTACTTTCCGCCTTTCTATTACTAAAAAGATACTAAAGACAGAGCCAGTTGTAGGTATGGGATTTTAATTCAACCAACTACAGATGGCACAATAAAACGATTTCAGTTTTAAAAAACCAACGTCTAATGCAGAAATAGTTTTTCATGCTTACCATAGATTTTCGAGTAGTGCCCACAGTTCCAACAATTTAGGTATCATCCCACCAAATTTCTGCATTGGTTGCAGTTGGTATACCAAACTTTAACGATAACCATGTTAGTGATGCCAACAGCCAGAGTATCTAATACTGTACCAGTACCTTTACAATGTAATAGTTCTCATATGTATGATTCAGTGTCAAGGTTAGTGGGAGACTAGATATACATACTTCAACCTCACAAGAAAAATAAACTTTCCCAGATCAGATCCACCCAATACTTGCCATTAAACTCTACATATTATCAAACTCCAATTTTCGATGATTATCAAGAAACTATATAAGCCTCTTCTTGCCACAAACTGAAAAAAAATAAAAACTATCATTTTTACTTCGTGTAATCAGGTAGAAGTAAATATCTACTCAGAAATTTTCATTGTAAATTATAAATTTTTTAATGTTCATAAAACGACCTTCAAAATTAACGGTAGAAAGATTAATAATTCTCTCATATCATACTAACATCATTTTTCAGCAGCTTCACGATCATTGCTATCACATTAGACATTAGACCATCCTCCTGGGGTTTTGTTCTTAATCCACGAACACTAAATAAATTTTTGTGGAAGCATATTTAATTATTTACTGTCTGACAAAAATGTATTACAACAATGGTAATTATTTACTTTCGTGGCACCACCTCCAATTTTCACGAAATTTTGTCTACCCCCCTATTTTCGATGGTGTTGAACACAAATCTGCAGTTTTTTTTTGTGCGGTCGAACCTGGTTCTCGAGAAAAAAAAATTTCAAAATTCTAACCTGGATATTTCAGATAACACTACATACAACTCTGTATATTTTATGTAGCTTTCCAGAACATGTTATGAACAATTAACAGCACAGACCACCTAGACTGGCCGTATCTAATTCCAATGCACGGGTACGGGTACCAGTCAGTGTTGCCAGATGGAAATTTCTGTCAACAGTAGGAATGTAGCCAAAAAAACAGGAGATTTCTTTTTTCAACAGGAGATTTTAATAAATATATTTTTTAATAGAGGAACACAAGTACATGCACAAAATATAGCAAAATATATAAATGTAGGAGTTCGTTTAATAGTTTTCAATTACATCAATACGTCACGTGATTTGACAACAGTCAGTTGTCAAAATGATAAATCCCGGAATCCCGCTGAAGTAAATGAACTCGCCTTCTATTCTGTTAGGCCTAGTTCATATAAACGCGAATTGCGGATTTAAAATTTAAATATGTACATGAACTGGCCTACAGAAAATATAACAGAACTGAAAATATTGACAAGTGACGAACACAGTGCCGTTAGAGAACAGTGTCGTACTAAAATATTCTTATTCTGGGGAAAATTAGTGTAATCAACAGAAGATTTCATAGAGAAACCAGAAAAATAGACATTGAAATTAAAAACAGGAGATCTCATAGTGAAAACAGTAGAACAGGAGAGTGAGAGTGAAAACAGGAGATCTCCTGTTAAAACAGGAGATCTGGTAACACTGGTACCAGTGAATGCAAAATCCGGGGAAGTCGAGTGTGGAAGGCAATCTGATCGCGCGCATCTTTAAGCAGATCCGGATTAAGTAATATTTTTATTACATATTAAACATTATATTGCATCTTATGACAAATATTCAATTTTAAGTTTGTAATTCAGAAAATAGTATATTTTAGTGTCATATTAAATAAAACTACAAAATAATTTAAATATATTTATTGTCCTCTAAATAATATTAATTTATTTAATATTTGCCTTTTCGTAGATTTTACCGAATTAAATAATTTGACTTCATGATTTATTCGTACATCGATATACTTTTCACATTCAGCCCTTACAAGTTCTATTAAATGATTACAATTGTTAGGCAAATTATCAAATTGATGTTCATGCAAATTTTCAAATATGTTCACATTCAGAAAGTTTTTTAATACATGATAAACAATTTTATTTTTCTGTAGCCTAGGTGTTCTGCTTTCATCATTATTAAAAAAATTTATTAATTTTTCTGTTTCTTGGCATATTACTACGACATCTCGAGATGGATACCTCAAACAACCACGATCTTTAATAAAAATTAATTGACTGTACGAATACTGTGTATTTGACATTAAACTATTTACACAGTCTTTACATTTTATTGGCTTTATTAGAGAACTTGTTATTACAAAACCGCCAATATATACTATAATGTACTTGCTAATTATTTTTTTTTGTCACAAAACTCTCTGATTTTTTCTAATCACATTTTGTCAACTCTCCGTTTCCAGGGTATTGAACATGAATTTGAAATTAGTTTTGTTTGCGATTTTTTCAATTGAAAAAAATATTTTATTAATTTTCAGCTATCTCGAAATGACGGGAATTGGTAAAATTTCATAAAAACTTGAGACTCACATAAAGTAAATAATTACTACAAATATTTTACAGTAATTCATTCATTATTTTATAATAACAATTTCACGTTAATCAATACACTATGAGGGCGAACAAAATTATAAAGCTAACCCTGGAAACTTGTGACGTCAACCGAAAAATGGCGTACATATTTACATTTTATACATTCCTTTTTTTTACTTACCTAAAGAAGGAAACTTTTCGCTTCTCTTCACCAACTCGATTACTTGTATTTATACAACGTTTTACAATACACTTGCCCGTGATAAAACGTCTAATTATCGAAATCACAGCGATGCGTACACGTCAAATGCTAGGACACGACTGAGCGCTGGGCACCAAATCAGGCTCCGAAGTGTTTTCACCAAAGTCGCTCTATAAGCCAGTCTAGGTGGTCTGTGATCACATACAGAAGTATGTGTCTGTGATTAACACTGTTAACGCGAAACACATTTTCGTAAATTTCAAGTAAAAAGATATGTATTTAATAAATAAAAATTTTGTAGTTTGAATCCGCCATTTGTAATTCGTGATGACAACATTGAGTTCCCCCACTCTCACTCAACTCTGTTCATCCCACATAAAGTTACTATAATTTAATTTATTAAATACATATTTTTTTAGTTCAAATTTGGGAAAATGTGTTTCTTAAACAATGTTCATTGTTTATTACAGATGTTCTGAAAGCTAAATAAAATATACAGAGTTCTACGTAGTGTTATCTGAAATATTCAGGTTAGAATTTTGAAATTTTTTTTTCTCAAAAACTGGGTTCGACCGCACAAAAAAACCTTCAGATTCGTGTTCAGCACCATCGAAAATAGGGGGGTAGACAAAATTTTGTGAAAATTGGAGGTGGTGCCACCAAAGTAAATAATTAACAAAATTTAAAACGGGTTGCTACACAATTATCATTTTCTTAAATATTACAAAATACTATACGGAAAGATTACTACAACTACCGATTTGTACCGTTATTATTTTTATTCAGGAATATTTTGTAATAAGAAAATTAAATTCCATAAAACATATATAAGATGTTTGTTTTTATTTTTTTTTATAACTGCATCCCTGAAACAAAGACCGCCATAGAAATAAACGTCCCGAAAATATTGAGATCTTCAACAATAATTTCCTTGGAGAAAATAAACCCAAATGTGAAATGGATAAAAACAATTATACATCTTAATCGGGGACTCAACTCAAAGCATTAAAAAGTCAACTTTTTGGATATAAGATAACCAGTCTCTAATACGAAGACGAAGGAGGTCGAGAATTCCATTTACCGGCCTACTTTTCATTTTCCTAGCTCTTCTATACTATTGATTTTAGGAAAAAAAGTAATGATATAAAAGTTGTTCCGAATCAAAAGTTCTACAAGATAGGTTCGGTTATTAATGCTGAATTTTGTTTTTCAATTGCCAAATTGTTTAAATTGAAATCTATATATCGAGAAAGTTATGTACCTAGGTATACAAAAAATCGAAAAAAAAATGGTAAGAAAGTTTTTAAAATCATTGAAATCTGTTAATAAATATGCCAACTGCCTCGTGTAAAAATATCAGATTGATTGCCAATATAGTTTTTTTTTGGAAAATGATATCAAAAATTATGCTCTTTTACACAGGCTCTTATGTGAGTCGGGAAAAAACTTTAATCAAACGTGAATATTGCTCTTAAAAATGGTTAGGATCGGGAAAATATAATTATAATTTTGGTACAGTTAATCTATGATAGTAGGCCTGGTATTCCCTAAAATATGAACTCCAAAGGTTTAACCAGTGGTGTACAACTGGACAGGGTCACCCCCCTTTTTTATAAAAAAAACCTACGTCACTGCAATTTTTACAAGTTATTGTAACGGATTTATATTCTGATGCACAAAATATGTAAAATAGGTAACTTGAATTTTTCCCCTAAGACTCGCCGTTTTCAAGTTATTCATACCAATACAATCCCCTTGTGCGGACATTTCTAACCATAACATAATATATTACAAGAACATTTATGTTTATGCTTAAAAGTAAGTTACACTCGTTTCCACACCACCTGTCCTAACCCACTATCTATACAAATAAGAACGACTTAAATAAGAATAATAATAAATATACATTTACCAAAGGCGAGGGGTAGTGAATTTTCACAATCTGCATATTTGGTCACAAGAAAATCCTCATGAAATTCAGATAAGATGTTTTCAACACGAATTTTCTGTGGACGTGTGGCTCGGAATAATTCGCAATAAAGTTTGTGGACCTTTCTTCTTGCCACTTCGTCTAAATTTTCAGTCATTTCTAAACTTTCTAGAAAACCATCTATTTGAATTATTAGAGGAGCGATTCTCAAACTTTTCTCAACATGGAGCCCCTATCAGTCAAATATAAAAGAACGGAGCCTACCTTTCTAGTTTCGTCACAGATTGTTTCATGGTAGGTGCCGCGTAGACGCCGAGTTTTAAAAATATACGTGTCGAAAAAACTAATAGTAATAGTTATTAAAAAATGTAAAATTCTAAAATTTTTGGAGCCCAGATAATTTTAACAGTATCCTACGTTCCCAGTGGAAGGGAGCGATACTTTTAAAATTTTTGGGGGAGGGGGGATCGGTGGCTTTGAGTAGTTGTAATATTAAGGATAATCAGTAACAACATAAATCTTTAGTTATTATCTATTTACATATTTACAATGAGATTAATGTGACGAATGATGTACTTTGTTCGCACATATTTCTTTGATATTTGGCTTTATTGAAGAGAGTTGTAACTTTATATCTGGTTCAGCATCCAGCTAACCGCTGCCAGTTGGCACTGGCGGAGCCCCTGCATTCCTCCGGCGGAACCTTGGGGCTCCATGGAGCACACTTTGAGAAACGCTGTATTTCACAGTGGGTGATCAACACGATACAAAAATGAAGGCATTCTTGGAGAAGAAAAACTGAACACTTGTTATTTCGTGTCGGCTGTAATTATTCTCTGTAAACTGAAAAGACGAAAGTTGCCCGATCTATTGGATTATTGCGTTTTCCAAATACTGACGTATTATTGTCATTATTACATAAGTGTAAAGTCCAGAGATTTCCAGAGGCGATCGGTCCACCCCTAATGCAACCAGGTTGACTGAACACGCGGGGGATGGTCGGTGGTTGTGCAATGCCCCCGCTAAAGGGAAAAACCACAGGGGGCCGATTATAAGACGTTCCTCATGAATCTTTTTGAGCGGGACGAATTGATTAGAA